GTGGTAAGACTCACCTGTGCGCACAACATCATACTCGGGAGGCCAGCACTGGAGGACCTCAAGGCCATAGTATCGGTGGAACACTTGTGTATGAAGTTCCCCACTCCGAATTGAATAGGAGTCGTCAGAGGTGACCGACAGGCAACCCGCAGTTGCTACGTGAAGGCATGCAAGAAGATTGGCAGCAAGGACCTACAGGTCCACACGATCGCGGAGAAAATTTTCAAAGAAGAAGAGGCCTGGCCCCGCGCCGAGCCCGTGTCAGAGACGGAAGATATAGTTCTGGATCCCTCCAGACCAGACCGAGTGGTGAAGATCGGCACAAGCTTAAGCCCAGAGCTAAGGGCCCAGATAGTGGATGTAATCCGCCGTTCTCACACGGTGTTCGCATGGGGGCCAGAGGACATGCCGGGCATAGATCGAAGGATCATAACCCACAAGCTCGCAGTCGACCCCAGCAGAAAACCAGTGCATCAGCGAAAAAGGTATATGTCGGCAGAACGAAGAGAGTTCGTGAAAAAGGAGGTGACCGCATTACTCAACGTAGGGCACATCAAGGAGATTTACTACCCACAGTGGCTGAGCAACGTAGTCTTGGCTCCCAAAGGATCAACGTGGAGGATGTGCGTAGACTACACGGACCTCAATAGGGCATGCCCTATGGACCGTTTTCCACTACCCAATATAGATCAATTGGTGGATGAGACGGCAGGGTGTGAACTCATGAGCTTCATGGACGCCTTCCGTGGGTACCATCAGATATCCATGCATGAGGAGGACGCCGAGAAGACCGCCTTCACCACTCCCGAGGGGATATTCTGCTACTTGGTCATCATGCCGTTCGGATTGAAGAATGCCGGGGCCACATACACTCGCATGGTGGCAAAGCTGTTCAAGACAGTACTGGGACGAAACATGGAAGCATACGTGGATGACATGATCGTCAAAAGTCGCAAGGCCACCTCCCATGCCGAGGATCTCAACGAGGTATTTTCCATTATGAAGAAATTTAATTTGCGCTTGAACCCAAAAAAATGCACCTTCGCCGTTGATGGGGGCAAATTTTTGGGCTTCATGGTCACTAGGAACGGCATTGAGCCGAATCCAGAAAAAGTAAGGACTATCCTTGACATGGAGCCTCCGCGGTCCATAAAGGAAGTCCAGAGACTCAACGGGCGTCTGGCGGCCTTAGGCCGTTTTCTATCTAAATCGGCTGAACGTTCCCTCCCCTTCTTCCAAATCTTGAAAAAGAGCAAAGGGTTCGAGTGGACGCCAGACTGTCAAAAGGCCTTCGAGGAGTTGAAAAAATACTTGTTGTCCCCGCCCCTGCTTGCAAAGCTAGAGGCAGGTGAAGCCCTAATTTTGTACTTGGGCGTGTCACAGGGTGCGATCAGCTCCGTGTTGGTCAAAGAAGAAGGAGGGACTCAGCTTCCCATCTACTACGTAAGCAAAGCCCTACACGACGCAGAGCTCCGATACAGTGTGTTGGAGAAGACAGTATTTGCCATAGTCACTTCATCAAAAAGGTTGGCTCACTACTTCCAAGCTCACCCCATCCACGTACTCTCACACCAGCCGTTGGGGAGCTTCCTCCGGAATACTAACAGCTCCGCCAGGATGGCACGGTGGGCCATGCACCTCAGTCAGTTTGACATAGATTTCAAACCAAGGCCCGCCATCAAAGGCCAAGCCCTTGCAGACTTTATAGTGGAGTGCACAGCTCGGGAAGTGACGGACCAGGTAGAAACTGAAGATAGAGGGTGGTGGACCTTGTCCACAGACTGCTCTTCGAACAGCAAAGGTTGCGGCGGTGGCGTAGTACTCATTACTCCGGAGGGGTTCCGCGCCTACTATGCCATCCGATTCCACTTCAAATTATTTAACAATGAGGCCGAGTACGAGGCCCTCCTCAATGGACTGCGATTGGCGGCGGGACTACGAGCTGAGAAGGTCCGAATTCGATGCGATTCCAAGCTGGTAGTCAGCCAGGTGTCTGGGGAGTATGAAGCCAACGAAGGAAGCATGCAGAAATACAGAGACGCGGTGTTGAGAACCCTGCTCGAGTTTGAGGGATACGAGATACACCAAGTACCGAGAGAGCAGAACGCCAACGCCGACATGCTCTCAAAGCTAAGTACCGGAGTCCCCAGCCACATTAGGAAGATCGCTCGACTGGAAGACCTCGAGACTTCAAGTATCGACGTTTCGTGGGTCTTCCCTGTGCAGACTAGGGAGCCATGTTGGATTGATCATATCAAACGATACAAGGCAGATGGCACCCTACCGCAAGACGAGGCAGACGCAAAGGTAACGAAGTTACGGGCACCCAGCTACGTTGTCTTGGGCGATAAACTGTACAAACGCTCCTACAATGGCACGTTACTGAGGTGTCTATATCCAGATGAAGCGAAGTTGGTGATAAAAGAGGTCCACGAGGGGGTATGCTCCGCGCACCAAGGGGCGTACACCATCGCACGCCGCATCATGTTACAAGGGTATTTTTGGCCCAAAATGCTGAGGGACTGCGCCGAGTATACAAAGCGATGTCCCAAGTGCCAAGAATTCCAAGCACTGCCGGGTCGACCTGTGACGAACTACACCCCGGTAAGCACCGCGATTTCTTTTTCGAGATGGGGAATTGACCTGGTAGGGGCCCTTCCCACGGGGACTGGAAGCAGGAAGTACATCATTGTGGCCATCGACTATTTCACGAAATGGGTGGAGGCCGAGCCCCTGGCGAACATCACCGCAGCAAGGTGCAAAAGGTTTGTCGAGAAAAACATCCTGTATCGTTTCGGTATCCCTCTCCAGGTAATCACAGACAATGGCCGTCAGTTCGAGGCACGAGAATTTTCAGAATTCTTAGCAGGATGGGGCGTTAAGCATAGTCGGGTGGCGGTATCTTATCCTCAGGCGAATGGGCAAGTGGAGAATGCGAATAGAACCATCTTCGACGGCCTCCAGAAAAAGCTAGAAGTGGCTGGCGGAGCCTGGGTGGAGGAACTCGACGGCATCCTCTGGGCCTATCGCACGACACCCAGAAGGGCCACCGGGGAAACCCCGTTCGCACTCGCCTATGGATTCGAAGCTCGGGCCCCGGTGGAAGTAATCATACCTAGTAGAAGGGTGGAGGAGTTCGAGTCAGAACAAAATGAACTCCACCAAAGGGTGGATCTGAACTTCTTGGATGAGAAAAGAGAAGCGGCATTCTGCAAGATGGAGAACTACGGTCGTCAGCTAAAGTCCTACCACGACGCAAAAGTCCGACCCCGGTACTTCCAGGTCGGCGACCTTGTGTTGCGAAGAAGGGAAGTCAGCCAACCCCTTGAAGGGGGAAAATTCGCAAAGAAGTGGGAGGGGCCTTACGCCGTGGAGGAAGTCGTTCGCCCAGGAACATACAAGTTAAAAACTACAGGGGGAAGAATGATCGATCGGGTATGGAACTCGGAACATTTGATCAAGTACTTTCCATAAAAATCCTGTAGTAGCAATCATTGGAAATAGTACTTGGCAATCGCGGTCCGTCCGCTCTACACGCTAAAATTCTTGGAAATAATTTCTTACTTTCATGGTCCGTCCATGTTATTTACTAAAACAAATTCGTTATCATCTTTTACGAAATTTTCTGAAATAATATCTCGTTCTCATGGTCCGCCCGTGTTGTAAAAAATAAAAAATAAAAAAATAAAGAAGCTCGGATGGCCGAGGCATGCCTCGGCCAGAGGTTGGCCGAGACGCACGCCTCGGCCAAGGGCTGGCCGAGGCGCACGCCCCTCGGCCAAAGGGCTGGCCGAGGCGCACGCCTCGACCAACCGAGTCCATCTTGGCAAGCAAGCAAATATATATATATATATATATATATATATATATATATATATATATATATATATAACAACATGTTTATTCCGAAGTAACTGGTTTATTTCGAATATTCTAAAAATGGTAGCAAGTTGTTCAAACACAGAAAGCAAATTGTTCAAAGACATAGCTAGAAAGCAATGGAAAATCTCAAGTCTACGAACTACTCATGGTCCGAGAGCTCCTCAATCATAATCTGATCAAGTGGTACACTGGGGACGTTGCTAGTGTCGATGCCGTGAAACTCGTCCATCAAAGAATCCTCACGAGCATCCGTAACATCATCAGTGAATTCATTCTCAGCATCAGGATCCGGATTATTCTCTATTACAGGCAAGCCAAGGGACACGGGGTCAAAATTTGGAACCTTCTCCCTCAGCACTGAAAAAATCTCATGTTGCTTCGTGTACCGCCCAATGTTAAAAGCCACCTGTGCCTCGGCCTCGACCGCCTCTTGACCAGCTCCAGTTTTGAGGAATTCCCTAATAGCCTCAGGAGTGCTCATATAGTGCATCGCGTCCTCTTTGAACTCGGCTGAACTCTTGAAGGCCTCCACAGCCCGGCCAAGGGCATCAGCATGGCCAGCACGAGTCCTCTCATGGTCCTCCCGCTCCTTCCCTAGGGCAAGTTTGACCGCTCCATGCTCTTTCCTTAGGACATCAAGCTCGCTCACCAGTTTGCTCAGAGCCTCCTCCCGGGCCAACAGCGCTTGGTGCTCCTTCTTTAGCGCCCCAAGCTCGCCTTCCATCTTGCTCAAAGCCCCTTCTCGAATCGATAGCAGGTCCTTCAGGCTCTTGTTGTCCACATCCCTAATTTTAACATCCTCAATGAGCGCGTCCGTCACCCGTCGTCGTTGGGCATGAATGATCTGTCCCTCTAGCAGGGCTTGAAAGTAACAGACGTAGTAAGACAGGCCAGGGCAGAGAAAGAACATAAGTGTGAGAAAACTGACCTCAAAAATATGTTTAAGATAACGCTCTTGCAACATGTTGACATCCATGGCGACAAGGTGTTCCAAGTCCGCAGGAGGGGCGATACGAGCAGCATACTCAACCGCATCAAGACTCTTATTTATTAACGACGCTCCGGGTGGCACGTCCATTCCCAGTCGAATCAAGTTAGTCCGAACACGCGAGCCAGACTCAGTAGAAGTATCCCCTTGCACCTCGGGGGGTTAAGGGGGAAAAAGTAACGGCCGTGGGCGTGCGAGTCGGTGGAGGCTGCGTCACCCCCTCGGCAACCTTGGTTGGAGTAAGCACACGCACCCCCTCGGCAACCTTGGTTGGAGTAGGTACACGCACCCTCTGGGCAACCTTTGTTGGGGTAGGCGTACGCTCAACGTCCTTGGATGGAGTCGGCGTGCGTGCCAGCGAAGGCGGCATCACCTCCGTGGCCTCGGCTTTACCCTTCTCTACCTTGCTCTTCTTTGGGGAGGGGGGGGGGGGGGGATCCTGTCGCGACATGTATCGACCGGTTCTCGAAGATGAAGACATGGTACCTGAAATAAAAAGAAGACAAGTTAGAGTTAGTAGTTGATGAATAAAGATTAAGTAGTAACAGAAGAGTACCCGTGGGTGAAAGAACAGCCGGATGAGCCCTCACGAAGCCCAAACCCGCGAGCTTCCACTCGGTAGTATAATCAACGATCGATAAATGTCCATCCCCTAGTAAATCATCTACATCTCGGCGGAGGGAGGGACTCATGTCAGGAGTAGGAGGGCAACGTAAATGGGATCCCCACGTGACACGAAAGGGAGACTGATGACCCACAAGGGTGACAAAGACATATTTGGGTTTCCAATCCTTGTTATAAGTAGGACGGTCCTCAAAGAGTTTGAAATGCGGTCTGCTCGAAACCATGACAAATCCCTTACCCTCCTGAGAAGCCCTACCAACTATGAAAAGAGCCTGGAAAAGATCTAGCATGGGTTCTATCCCTTTGTCCTTACATATAGCAAGAAAGCCCGCAATTACCCGGTGACCATTGGGAACAAGCTGACCGGGGGCTATCTCGTAGTGGTTCATAAAATCTATCACAAACCTATGAAGGGGAAACCGCAGCCCAACCTGTAGCGACAGAAGATGGACCCCAAAATACTTATCCAGGGGTGGGTCGGTGATATTACCCCGAGGGTCAGGAGGGAGAGTCAGAACGTCAGGACTAAGGAGACCTCTAATATCATTCCAATCTCGTCCCCCTAATTGAGGCTGTATGGACAAGACAAGGGACTTATCAAGAACAGAATAGGAGGCCTTGCGTTTTTTCTTCTTTTTCATTTAGGGCTTAGGTGTAGGCGAGTCAGCAACAAACGGAAGAGGGGGAAAATTTTCAAAAAGAGGGGAATCATCAAGAAGGTATTCCTCATCAAAAGCAAGTTCTCCAACATCAATCAAAGGGGTGACATCCATTATGAAGCAAAAGACACTAACCTCACCTCGATTACAGATAAGCTCGCAAGACTTGGGTACAAAAACTGCCTGTCAGGAAAAAAGCGTGTCAAAAATAATAATAATAATAATAATAATGGCTGAGGCCGCGCCTCGGCCAAGTGGCTGAGGCGACGCCTCGGCCACAAGCCGATCCAAAAAAAAAAAAAAAAGGGGCTGAGGCCGCGCCTCAGCCAAGGCCGAGGCACACGCCTCTGCCACAAGCCGATAAAAAAAAAAAAAAAAAAAAAAAAGGGGGCCGGGCAGCGCCTCAGCCACAGGCCGAGGCCGCGCATCGCCTCGGCCACAAGCCGAGGCGTGGCGCCTCGATCAAAAGAAAAAAAAAAGGAAAAAAAAAAGGCAGGACACGTATACTCATATATACATAAATACATTGTAAAATAAATTGCAAAATAATAATGACAGCGGAAACTTACAGAGCTGTGGCAGAAAGTTGTTGAAGAAGTGCTCTCAAACTGCTCAGAGAGACAGAGGTTTATATTGGAGAGGAGCTTGAGATAAAAAAGTTAAGTGAAGCAGGAAAGGATTGGGAAAACACAAATCAGGGATTTGGAAGGCAAGTTAGGGATTTGGAAAACAAAACCAAATATCCTAAATCAAGCAGAATTCTACACAGGATCAAATAAAATATCCTAAATCAAGAGGATCCTACACAAGATCAAAATAGATTCAGCTTTACTCCCAAGTCAACTCAAACACATCCGTTGACTCAGGAGTAGGGGGGACTGGTGACAGGATAATAGGGCTGGCACCCGACCCAGATCACAAATGGGCATTGACTCAGCATCGCATGGGAACCCAACGGGCAGAACTCCAACGGTTAGGAATTCTAACAGGTGCCACCTTACTATCATTGAAGCCAGCATTGAAGCCCCCATTGATGAGAGAGAATTAAAGGCTAGGCTCCCCATTTATGTCCCATGTTGTTACCGTTAGGACTCTAAGTATAAATGGGGCTCTCCTCAGCTAGCAGAGGACACGGTACTTTCGATACTAAGACAAAAGGCAATACAACTATTGTTACTTTCTTATTCGTTACTCTTATATTATATTTCCGGTAACATATTTACCGTCAACCATGAAAAACTATATACGTTTTTATTTGTCCCAAGTATGATGACTTCATGTTATTAAGTTGGTAAAATGTTGGTAAAATTTCTGACCCAACCTGGTAGGGAATATCCCGACCGACATTATTTTACCCCGGCTGGTCTGCCTTTGTCTTTTTCTTCTTGTCTTTGCAGGTAACAGGTCGGGCTTCGTGTGAAGAACCCGGTCGGGGTTCGAGCGAGAGTTGCCCGAGCGGCAGTGTCGACCACCGAGCGGCAGTCCTTTTGCGAGAGAGCTGACAAAGGACACGTGGCGGTTCTTTACGACGACAGACAGGGCACCTGGGAGGATGACACGTGGTGGCTACGTGGAGAGCATGCCGAACGACCGGATTTGTGTGTCTGGCGCAGCGGCTATAAATACCCACAGTAGCTACAGTGTGAGGGACTTTTGGACGATCGATAGGTTGTTGTTAAAGAATCCCGACCGCAGTCAGTCGGTACTCAGAGCAACCAAGTAGATTGTACTTAGGACCTTCACCGTGATCAATAAAGATATTTACTAGCTTTATTTGGTCCCGGGCTTGTTTAATTATTGCTTACGTAGTAATTAGCAGTATCACAACCCATCTAAAATCAGTATATGCAGGTCCAAGACGGTCGAGTTGGACTTGTTTAATAAGTAAGTACGACAATTGATGAGTAAGTAATATAACATGTTATTTGATACAATTACCTTATTTTATGTTGTTAGATGTTCTAATTACAATTTTTCTTGAATTTGATAATTCAATTGTATTATCATGAATAATTTAATGGCCTATTTCAACCTTAGCAAAAAGTTTTCATCCTATAAACCTAAATTGTTTGAAATTTTGCCGTTTTTCAAAAAATTTTACTTCGCTTACCCAACTTCCCAAATTCAAAATCCAAACACGCGGGACCACCTCACGCTTCCAAAAAACCACGATCTGGGTCATCACGCAAGAATCAATCTCTAGACCGTCGATCAACAAGCTATCAACGATGTAAAGAGCTTTAATTCGCATCACACAGATCTCCATCTCTAACCGTCAATGATCACCACAAATCTAACGGTTGTTCTTGACTTCACTTCCGTATATAAAACTCCCTAAATCTCAATCATTTAACAGCGCAATAAAAAATCTTTGAAAGGTAAGCGAAGAACAGAAGAGTTTTCTGAAGATGTCTGGTCGTGGAAAGGGAGGTAAGGGTTTGGGAAAGGGAGGAGCGAAACGACACCGTAAGGTTCTCCGGGACAATATCCAAGGCATCACGAAGCCGGCCATTCGCCGTCTCGCTCGCCGTGGTGGAGTGAAGCGTATCTCCGGTCTAATCTACGAGGAGACTCGCGGCGTCCTTAAGATTTTCCTCGAGAACGTGATCCGCGATGCTGTTACCTACACAGAGCACGCTCGCCGGAAGACGGTCACCGCAATGGACGTTGTGTATGCTCTCAAGAGACAGGGCCGCACTCTGTACGGCTTCGGCGGTTAGGGTTTGGCATTGGCGGTGTATATTTTGGTGGCGTTTAGGTCTAGGATTGGGGAGGATTAGGGTTAGATTCGGTGTGCTATTTTGAATCAATCCACAATTGATTGCTTGTTGCAATGTTACTCTTATTTCAATCCAATCAATTTCAGTTCTAATCAATTTTAGGTTTTTTATTTTTATTTTTAAATTTTATTCTGATTGCAATTCGTAAGATATTTCAAATTATCTATGAGAATTTTGTTCAACGTTCATTTTTTATTATAGATGAAAATATTATTTAGGAGAAAATTGTTTGTTTGTTTGTTTTTCTTTTTAGTGAGCTTTTTCTAGTAAAAAAAATTACATTGAAATGTTGTTGTTATTATTACTCCGTATTATTATTGTTGTTGTTGGTGGTGTTGTTATGATTAATGTAAAATAATGCTTAGACAGAAATTTGAGTTTTGAAGTCTTGCAAATAATTTGGGGCAACACATGATCTGTGAGTCCATGTTATATTTTGAGTAGATTTTGTTCGGGCAAAAAAGCTACACTTCTAATCTGGTTGTGAATCAAAGAGGCTTATTTTGTGTGTATTTTTTCTACTAAACAAATTGAGAAGGTAATCAAAAGTTGATTATGTTGTTGTGCATAGAGCAGTCTTAAATCTTATGATTAGCTTTTTTAATAAATGAGGATTTTCATTTTGTTTGATTGTGAAAACTCTAGAAACAAATTAGGTTCAATATACATCCTTGGGTTTTTCTCATTATTTTAAAAACTTACGGAGTATTATTTTAGAATTTTAAATTTTAATTATTTCCATTTGAACAGCTCTCTTAAGGGGTCGTTTGGCTTACGAAATGTTAGATTACTTTAGAGAATGTTAAATTTATGTGTTAGGTTTAAAACTAAAATATGTAAAGAGTAAATACTCAAAATGGTCCCTTGACTATAGCTAAATTCACAAATTGGTCCTCGACTTTCAATTTCAACCAATTAAGTCCTTAACTTTGCAATTTTGACACGATTTGGTCCTCCATCTATTTGACCGTTTGTTGATCGTGATCGACGATCTCCAGAAGAACCTTCAACTCTCGTTGGAGCACGTGGATGCCTCCAGGATAACGTTGCATCGGTTCGGAAACACGTTATCTTATTCGCTCTGGTACGAACTCAACTACATTGAATCCAAAGGGAGGATGAAGAAAGGCAACCGAATTTGGTAGATTGCTTTCGGCAGTGGATTTGAATGTACCAGTGCGGTCTGAAAATGCAACCGGACCTTAAAAAACCGACGATGGACCATTAAATTACATATATATCCTCAAAAATCACAGTCAACAAACGGTCAAATAGACAAAGGACCAAATTGTGTTAAAATTACAAAGTTAAGGACTTAAATGGTTGAAATTGAAAGTCGAGGACCAATTTGTGAATTTAGCTATAGTCGATGGACCATTTTGGGTATTTACTCATATGTAAATAAGACAACGGTAATAAGATAAATTGATTAAAGCGTCCAAAGCCCAACATTAGTAATAAGACAAGGGAATGTGAAATTACCTAAGAAATTACAGGGCGTTTGGTTGGAGGGGGGGAATTATGTGGGAAAATGAATTGTAATTCTATGGGAGTTGAATTACTGGGGATAAAGTGGGAATTTAAATTCCAGTGTTTGGTTGACAGGAATAGAATTACTGGGAATTTCAATTCCAATGTTTGGTATACATGGGAATTGAAAGGGAATAAGTAGTATAAAGTCAAAAATGTCCATTATTATTGTTAGACATTAATTTTAGGTTAAAAAAGGAAAGGGTAATTTTGACTCATCACTATCTTTTTTTCCCAGGAATTAAAATACCAGGGGGGGACATGGGATTTTAATTCCATGAAAATGGGGGAATTGCAATTCCTTGGGATTGCAATTCCTTGGGATTGCAATTCCCTCCAACCAAACTACGAAATTTAATGGCTTTTGGAATTATGTGAGAATTAAGTGGGAAGGGAATTTAAAATCCCTCCAACCAAACGCCCTGTTAGAGAGTATCTCACATTCTCTTCCAATAGCTAAAAGCTTAATGCAGAGGTTATTTGACATTCCCTGAGAATGTTAATAACCTGAACTAAACATGGAAATCTTATATTACCAAGCAAATATAACCTTGGTTATCTTATATAACCTGAACCAAACGCCCCCTAAATAGTATACTAATCTTGTAAAATATGATTAATTGAATCGAATTTTGATTTGTGTTCATTTGAATCATTATAACATATGTATCTATATGACTATATGCCCATTAGCAAATATCATATGGGTTTCAAGTTGCATGGAAATATTTTATCTAAGATTTGTTGTGAATTTAATAGTATCATCATGTAGATGTTGTATAGTTCATATCGTAAGAAAACAAATACAATTAAAGAGAAAGAGTAAAGAGAGAAGAAATTAGAAACTGACGAGCTCAATTTTATTAAATAACAGATGATTTATACACATACAAGTAAAGAGAGAAGAAACATAAACATGGGATGCAATGGCCACATAAATAGATTTTTTCAACATACTTAAGTGGTAGTTGGACTGGCCAAACAGGCCTGCTCCATTCACATGGGTGTGAATTGAACCCTCAACCTTATGCTTAAGGGACAAGGTGCTAAACCACCACACTAATCATGTTGGTTCATGATCATATAAATAGATATATTTACAATACTCCCCCTTGGTCATTATCTCACTATATTCATGCATCGTTAAAAATCTTGCTAGAAAAATCTAGTCAAGGAAAAGAGTACATGATGTATTTAAAATCATGTTGATGGATTTAATTAATCGGGGTAGTCCGAATCAATAAATCCGATAATTACAGAAAGTGTAAACAGATAGGTAAAATAGACAAAATAGAACAACGGTGTGTAGTAGGGTCGCAGGGACCAAATATTGTATTGATAATAACGTAAGCTATTACAATGATTGAACAATGCCGTTACCCTTGATACTTTAGGACGATAGCATAGGAAATGTCTTGACAGGACAATTACAAGGCTATTTATGTAAAGGAAATTCCAACCAATTACGGCTAAATTCGTGGAGGGCAACGGGACTAAATCCAAGCCCATGTGGTGGGCCGTGAGATTAAGTCAAGGCCCATCATTTTGGGCCCGGAGGTAAGCTCCGGGCTTGAGACTCTTCTTGGGTTGCTCGGGTTATACATTCCCGGACCCGGTCTCTATTATTATTGGACCATTTCCAATACGTCCATCATCAGTCCCCCACTCTCTAAGTTGCGAGAAGTCGACAACGAGAGAGAGTAAACATTTGGCCCAATCGAAGCCGCTTCGAGGCTCCATGCTTAGATGAATGGTTCAGCGTCAACTTGAATGGAAATATTTTGCTTATTCCAACACCTTTAAAACTTTTAGCCTTGCACTTTAATTCGTGATCCGAGTCCTCTCCATTCGAGAGCGGGCTGTCTGGACGATGCAGGGTCGTTTATTAGATTCTTGCTCGCGTGATTTTGCTTTTTTTTTTTTTTTTTTTTTTTTTTTGTTTTGTTTTTTGTTTTGTTTTGTTTTGTTTTGTTTTGTTTTGTTTTGTTTGTTTTTTATTTTTTGTTTTTTGTTATTGTTGTTTTTTTTTTTTTGTTTTTTTTTTTTTTTTGTTTTTTTTGTTTTTGTTTTTTTTTTTTTTTTTTTGTATTTTTACGTAGCATGTAGTTATTTGGCCAAGGGTACTCTTGGTCCAAAAACTCTTCTATTGGAGTTGGTACGCGAGGTCGGACCTCGTGTCTCCTTAGGGTGATAGCCCTTCAACCCAAGTGATTTGACACCGGGTCGTTAGGCTCTTCCGTCGGGATTGGTACGCGAGGTCGCACCTCGTGTCCCCTTAGGGTGATAGCTCTTTGACCCAAGTCATTTGACACCGGACCGTTAGGCTCTTCCGTCAGGGTTGGTACGCGAGGTCGGACCTCGTGCCCCCTTAGGGTGATAGCTCTTCGACCCAAGTCATTTGACACCGGGCCGTTAGGCTCTTCCGTCGGGGTTGGTACACGAGGTCGGACCTCGTGCCCCCTTAGGGTGGTAGCCCTTCGACCCGAGTCATTTGGCACCGGACCATTAGGCTCTTCCGTTGGGGTTGGTACGCGAGGTCGGACCTCGTGCCCCCTTAAGGTGACAGCCCTCCGTCCGGAGTCCTCAGACACCGGGCCGTTAGGCTCTTCCGTCGAGGTTGGTACGCGAGGTCGGGCCTCGTGCCCCCTTAGGGAATGCATTGAGCGAGCGATATGTATGTTTTTTTTTTTTTTTTTTTTTTTTTTTTTTTTAAACAGAATTGGCCCGCGGACCGTGGCTCAGACGACACAATTCACAATGATACGGGGACCGTTGTTCCTCGGACTAATTTTGCAATAAAAAAAGTACTTCAATATAATAATGGATCGTTGGGGTGACCAACGTATATGTAATAAGTCAAAGATAGGCTCTTCTTTCAGGTAGTGAGTAGGGGCGGGCCCCATACCGCCGCTAAGAAATGCCAAGGTCAAGGCCGGCGTGCACGACCGCGACCATGGATTGATTTCTTTGCTTAGTGCTTGGCGTCCGACCTTGCAACGCCATTAGAATATGCTTTGGGTAAAGCCACCCATTCTCCGTTGAAAAAATAAAATTACTCCACCCTTTCCGGGTGGCCACGCTTTTCCACGACACCAGCCTATTCTTTTGTTCTCCATTCTTATTATGATTCCAAAACCAATTTTAGCGTAACTTGTTCCACATTGTTGCCATGGGAATTGCCATTGTCGTTGTTGGTTGCGGTATATCGGCTGAGCTTAAGGGTAAGACTTGTTGGCTTTAGTCCATTACAGGTGCCCGTAGAAGAGATGCGCGGCACAACTCTACATGGACTACCAATAATATTTCCATGCATAATCTTCATCCCTAATAATATAATTAAATGATAATAATAGCCTAGCATTTTCCTCCTCACTTTCCAGTGTATTAAGGGAAAGTAACCCAACAAAATAGAAAACTCTTCTTCCAGATGTTATTCTTCTTTCATCCCTTTGTGCAGGTAAATCTCAAGCTCAAATCTACTCTACTCAGTCTCTTATTTAAAGTCTCATTTTATAACATGAGAATAGCTGGCCAAAAGTCTAAACCATGTTAGCTTGCAGACTGTCGGCGCAAAGATTTATCAAATCTATAATTGAGCTTGAGTCTACAGGACATCAATGCCCAGTTTACAACAGGCGACTCCAACATGGAATTTCCTTGTGTATGTTTC